GCTCTTACCATGTCTACTCTTGACTTGGGTGTCCATGAAGTCTATGGACACGGAGTCTCCCGGCTGATCCGGAATAGGCAAGGGTCCGAGAAGACCTAGGGGCGCGCGTGTAGTAGACTTATTCCTCTGGCACACTTTACAACTGGGAACATACTCTATGCAGTCTTCATCCCAGGCCAGGCATACGCACGCATCAGGTTGGCTAATGTCTTTTGCCAACCGAAATGCCCTTCAGTATCGTGGCATTCCCCTAAAATCAAACTGCGGATCTCTTCGCTGTTGGGAACGCACAGGCGGTCAAACACATTAGTCTTCTCAAACAACAACCCGTCTGTAGTGCAGTAATCTGGTTCAGTCTCTGGGGCCTCTCTAACTCTCTTTAGGAGGTCGCTATAGATAGGGTCCTGCACATATGCTTGCCTCACTTTCTCCTGCAGGTCTCTCCCTATATCCAAATAGTGTACTACAGCTCCAAAGTAGTCTGATCTCCTACTCAGAGCATCCGCAACTACGTTGTACTTGCCCTTCACTGGCTTGAGCTCAAAGTCGAATTGGTCTATCTCTGCAGCCCACCTAGTCAACTTAGGTGTCATCTTGGCCTGAGTCTTTAACCATCTAAGCGTTTCGTGGTCCGAATACACTTTGAAGTGTCTCCCAAGCTGGTAGTGCTTCCAATGATCTAAAGCCTGCCTGAGAGCGTAGAGTTCTCTCTCGTACGTGGAGGCAGCAACCTTTTCACAGGGCATCCTCGCTGACATGAACTCTACGGGTCTATAGCCATTGTCGTCGTCTTGCTGCAACACGGCGCCTATCCCATACTGACTCGCGTCCGTGGTGACGACAAATGGCAAAGACGGATCTGCAACTTTGAGGACAGGATACTATATTAACGCGCGCTTTAGCTTCTTGAGCGCAGACGTACAGTCTTTGTCCCATTGCCAGATTGCCTCTTTCTTCAGCAATCGGCGCAAGGGAGCGGAGATTGTGGAGAAGTTCCTCACGAACTTCCTATAGTAGTTAGCTAAGCCTAGGAACAACCGCAACTCTGTCAATGTGCGGGGCGTCGACCAATCTCTAATCGCCGCGATCTTGCTGTCCTCTGGCTTGATGCCATCTTCGTCTAATGCGTGGCCCAAGTACAAAACTTGCGTCTTGGCCCACTCACACTTCTTCGCGTTGATCTTGAAGTTAGCCTCTCTAAGCTTCTTCGTCTGGTGCGTGGCCCAAGACCTGCCTCAGATGACCCTGATGCTCCTGGAGGGTCTTACTAAAAACTAGGATATCGTCTAGATAGACTATTACAAACTTATCTAACCATGGTCTAAACAGGTCATTCATACAACGCTGAAAAGTGGCTGGCGCGTTGGTTAGTCCAAAGGGCATCACTATAAACTCATAGTGCCCATATCTAGTCCGGAATGCAGTCTTATACTGATCATCAGGATGAACTTCTATCTGATGGTATCCGGACTTCACGTCTATCTTGGAGAAGTACTTACAACCCTGCACCCGATCTAAAAGATCGTCTATCCTGGGCAGCGGCTCAGCATTCTTCACGGTGATCGCATTCAAACCCCTATAGTCTATACACATACGAAGCTCTCCTTCCTTCTTGGGGACAAACAAGACTGGTGCTCCAAAAGGAGACGAACTGGGCCTGATCCAACCCTTTTCAAGGAGTTCGTCTAACTGTTTGCGAAGCTCCTCTAACTCTCTAGGGGACATCCTGTAGACTGCACCCTTAGGAGTTCTACTGCCAGGCTCTATCTCTATCCTGTGCTGGATGGGTCGTGACACTACTCCTGTCGGCGACTCAGTCAAGTCTTTGAATTCTTCCAGCAGCTTGGCAATTGTTGGATCTGTGGAGCTATCCTTTTCCTCGGCCTCAGTGACAGGTCTAACATAAACTTCAAAGACCTGGTCTTCTAACTGCTCCTTTTTGACTAATCGCGCGAACGCGGGAGCATTGAGACAGCAATGTGCCAAGGTGTTGTCTACACCCGACACATGGAATAAGCGGGCAATCTTAACTTCGCCTGTCGGGCTAGGGAGCCTACACTCATGCTCTCTCAAATGATGTGTGGCCCCTGCATCTTGCACGAGGAGAGTCAAAGAATGGAGGACCTTCTCCACTTTCCCATTCTTCTCTAAGCGAAAGTACGCCTGGACTCCCTCTACGTAGTCCTCAACGCGCATCGTGCGGTTGTCTGCGAGGACACTGACTATGGGGTCTACTAGTTTCTGGACCTTTAGTCCCAGCCTCAGCTTCTTCAGCGCCCTACGGCTAATGTAACTACGAGTAGCCCCTGAGTCTATAAGGGCCCCTACTCTACTTCTGAACACCTCTACATCTACCAAAATCAGTTGTCCCTTACTCTCCCTTTTCATTTTGGCCCAGGTTGGCATTCTCTCTTTTAACTCTTCTGCCACACCTGTGAGGGACGTGCCTAAAGAGACGCTAACACAAGCAGTCTCTGGACAACTATCTAGGCACGGGCCTGCAACCTCTGCCATAGGCTCATGTGGGTTGGGAGTGTCCTGTTCGCGCGCGCTCACTTCTCCACATGGCCTGGAAGTAGGGGCAGTTGCGACCCCTAGTGGCGGCTGCCTTTTGACTGCTGAGCAGCCCAACGGGCCTGTCTATACTTTGGA